CCATGCTTTTCAAACTGAGAAGTTGATTGCTGGATTTGCATTCTCTGTTTCTGCTCGAAGTGTCTAAGGGTACACAAGCACAGAGTTGGAAGGGACTTCCAGAAAAGTCATAGAGGAGAGTCAGGGTCAGCTGGGTGTGGGCCACCCACGAACCGTCTTCAGGAGTATTCTCAGATCCCTCTGCAGACCGCATAAGCTGGCATTTTGCATCTCTGCCAGAACCTCTGGGTCAGGAGTAGGACAGGAGGCAGGGAGCAGCCACTGCTCTACGTGTCCGGAGGGGAGGCTAAAGCTCCACTGAGGTGCACAGTCAGGTCTTCAGCTCGAGTGGAACCGGGAAGCACCACTCTCTTCATGATTTGCCTTGGAGCTGCCCTCTTATTTTTGGGAGTTAGAGAAGTTTTATTGGAAATTAGGAGGATAGTTCCTCGATTTCTGGGAGAGGTCCCAAGTGGGTGGCTGCTGAAACTCTTTATCAAGGATAATTTATACAGCAAAATCACAACCTTGGTACAACACGGATCAAACTACAATGAGCCTATAGAATTACAAGTGTAGTTACTAGGTTGATAGTGAGTCATGTAGCAAGGGTATATGGGAAAAAATGAAGGCATTCCCGAAAAGGGGTGGGTCCGGATATTCTGGTGATCCACTTATGTGTCTGTTGCCTATCTGGGCCCACTGGACCAGGTGGTGCTAATTACAGTATAATCTCCAGTCGCTGTTCATCTGTAGGGAGTCTTGCATTCCTGGCTATTGCATTTCCATCTGGAGGCCTGGCTCTGTTCAGATTCACCTCCAGCCATAACCTTTGTGTCTCATCTGTGCTGACTTCCTGAAGGGCCCAGTTCCACTCTGAGTGCACATTAATTTCTAGCTTAGCTGTCTATAATATTACTCCTTATAAAGAGGTATCCCTACCTGGCGTTATGGGAGAATGGACAAAGATCCAGTCTACCTGCTTCAAGCTGAGAAGGGTTGGTATAGGGAAGATGGCAATCAGGGATTTTCTCCACAGAGCTAGATTTAAGAGGCCTTGGATAGAAGTCATGTTGGGGTTTAGCAGTTATGGACACTTTATAAGATTGATCTAGTGGGCCCCAGAAAAAGACTCTGGCACATTTATCATTGATTCCATCTGCATGGTCATTTGGAATTTGACAGCCTCTAAGTGAGAATAAACAGATTTTACCAAGAGATTAAGCCTGCATGCTCTAAACATATGATCCATAGCAGAAAGACAGACTGCGGGGGAAGAAGCCAAGTGTAGATGCTGTTTTTAAGGGATTGGAGTAAGGGTTATAACCAGCTGGGCCCTAGACCTACCTGTTCATGGAGGTTATCTGTAAGTCTGATATCTCCTTCATTGTTTAAGATCCCTTTACACCTGATATGTATTATATATCTAAGGATAACAGGTTTTATTTATGAGAATACAAGTTCTTCTGGTTTTGGCTGTGAGGAGATCAAGGTCTCTGTGGTACTGAAGGACTATTTTAGGTAGGGAATTTAAAGATTCTTGCTGAGCTTCTGTAGCTGCTACTGTGGCTTTTTAGCCTTATTGAACCATAATAGTGATCAGCCACAGGCGTAGCTAGAGACTTCTAGCAAGGTCCAGTGTAGTAATTAGAGCCCTCTTTCTACACCTAATCTATATTACTATTACTCTTTTATATATCTTGTTGATTATACTTTTCTGCTCTGTGTTTCAGTCCAAGTTAAAGTGAGACCTGTGCTAATCAAAATTAACCTCTTGCTTCGGATATCAAGGTCACTTAAGGCTCCTCAGTGGTTACTTTTGGAACCATTTGTAGAACCTCTTAGCTCCTCTGTCAGTGTCAGCTGCCAGGATGGGCCATAGTCTTGCTTGACCATGTGGTTTCCTGTTGAAGCATGGGAGATGCTTTCCTCTTTGGTGACCCTCCTTTTTATCATACTGTACATTGGTTGACTCCGAGGTCCAGCAGTCTCCCTTCTTATGAGGTTGGGTGACTCACCAGAGTTTTAGGCTTCTATTGAGAGGTTCCCTTGTATCCTGGGTCTTTTTTGACTTTAGAGGGCCAGCTCCAAAATATTGGCTGTCCTTGTAGTCCAGTTATCTATTTCATTTTGTTTTCCATACCTCGGTTGTTATCAGTTACACCAGTATTGAAATGGGAGCAGGTTTAACTTTCTGGTGGATTAACTAATGGTCAGTTTGGAATGCCCTGCTGAACTGAGTGAGCATGGTTCTAGAAAACCCACCTGAGGATTGTGGCCAATGGCATAAAGAGAACTAGAGGAGATTGTATGGTGTTGATTTTTCTCAGGAGGCTTGCTGTGGCTGGTTTTCCTGATGAGAACTTGGCTATTCTTGTCATAGGAGAAGCTTGGGTTCTCGCTGTTGCTGGGGATGGATGCTATTCTCATCAGGGGAGCTCTGGTCTTGGCCCTGAGCATTGCTTCCTGGCTCCAGTGCAGATCCCTCAGCCTGGTGGCACAGATCCTTTACCCTGCTGGTGCAGAATTTCTAGCTTCCACCACTGGCCTTTGGGCCTTCCCAGTGCAGATCCTTGATACAGATTTGCATGAGACATTGCCATGGGATCCAGGCCCTTGGTTGTATTCTTTGGGTCTCTAGCATGTGGACAGATCTCTTGCACTCCTCTGCATTTGACTTTTTGGATGAATATTATAAAATAATTCTGTAGGACTGGGGATTTAGCTCAGTGGTGCTGTTGCCTGCCTTGCAAGCGCAAGGTCCTGAGTTGGATCCCTAGTACATCCTGCAAAGATGAAAATCCTAGTCACTTGAGAGTCCTGGAATCTGGCAGTCACAGGGAAGAGATTCACCCTGGACAACTTGCTGCTGTCAACTGCATTATTTCTTCTTAGAGCTTCCCTTAATAGCAAGTGTGCTTCTTTTGTTTAGGTTCTGTTTCAGAATTTGGTGGAGCAAGTATGGCTGACACTGTAGGGGAGGAGGTCATTTCAAGTCTGAAGCTGTTCGAAGGCCTAGGAGCAGAAGGACTTTAGGTCCCTGGAGACAGAAGGGAACTGAAGGATCACAGTGCCTGAGCACAGGGTCACAGAGCCCTGCTTTCTTCTGGGAGGAATGGAGACAGATGACAGTGCGAGTCTTCCACAGGGGTGTAGGGCCAGGTGCTGCTGGAAGGTGGAGGAGCTCGCAGATGGCAGATGCACCCTGTCCTCCCTCCCACAGGACGGCCTGAGGGCCTGCTGGGACCAGGGGTCTTTGTCAGGGGCTCCAGACACTGACACCAAACCTTTCCCTTCCAGGTTCCTGACAGTGTTGACACTGACAAAAGGTCAGCCACTCGGAAGGTGGTTGGGATTTAAAAAGGAAGAGTCCAGCAGAGAGCAACAAAAATGGGAGATATACTTTTGCTAGACTCCTTCCTCTCTTCAAAGGGGTGAATTCTGCCCAAGTGACCCCACCCCCCCTTGTACATCCATGTTCTGGGCCCCAGTGGTGCTTATTTTATAAATAAAGACTTACTGCCCAAAAGTATAGCTTCTGTTTTGTTGTTGTTGTTGTTGTTGTTGTTGTTTTGAGATGGGGTTTCACCATAGCCCAGGCTGGCCTCCAGCTCACAGCAGCCTCCTAAGTGCTGGGGTTACAGGTGTGCACCACCACACCCAGCTGAAACACAGTTTATGGATGGGATAAAAACAGCATTTCACACCATCCTACTGGAGCCACCTGCAGCTAATTCAGACCCCCCAAAAATGAACAATTCAGAATATTGTCATGCATCAGTATTGAAGCTAAAGTCTTCAGTTCCACCTTAATCAAACTGGTGAACATAATCCAATCTTAACAAAACCATTAAAGGGACATCTATGTAATTAGAAGAGAATTTTTTTTTCAGCACTTCATCCACCCACCTTGGCGACTGTCTAAGGAAAAGCAGTCTGGATCTCACAGCACTAGAGCATACTCTAGCGGTGATGAGGAAAAGCAAACACTTCCAAACTGCTGAATTTACCCACTCCTGGGAATACTAGATAAATACTCCTTGTTTGGGCAAAAGGTTAGGCAGGCTTCCATTGTAAAAGAGCAAAGGAAATTAATAGAACATTATGTGACAACTCCCGGACTTAGAATAAAGCAACTTCAAGCCTTCTAATTCTCCTTTCAGAAGAAGGAAAATTTTCTTTTATCCAATGCTCAATGCCTAGGGCAAACAAACAAGAATTATTAAAAATCTTCAAACAATCTAAAATAGCATCCTACATATTGAGGTTTTAGAAAAGGTTTTTTCCCCTTTTCTTTTTAAATCCTAGCTATATTCAGATTTTCTTCTGGGAGAGTCTGTTTAAAGAAGGGCAAGGGAACAGATACTAGATATAATTCCTAAAGTAAACTCCCTTCAGCCATGACAGTGTTATTACAAACTTGAGTGAATACCATTATTTCAGATAAATAAAAACAATGGACCAGAACTGATTTTACATAAGGAAATATTGTACAATTTGTTGCAAGATTTGCTGAAGTCTCTTCTGGTCTGTCAAGTGATGGTTAATTATAAATAAGAGTGTTTGTCTTTGCTTTAAGATAGCATTCTTTTTTGTTTGTTTGTTTGTTTGTTTTTTGGTACCAGGGATTGAACTCAGGACCTTGAGCTTTCGAGGCAGGTGGCAGAACCACTGAGCTAAATCCCTGGCCCCAAGATAGCATTCTCATAAAAGCACACTCATACATTAACCAAGTACACAACACTGCCGGCATGTGTGTATATGTATGTGTGTCTCACATGAAGGAAATGTGTTCCCTTGGTTTTAAATGTAAATTATACTCTTAAAATCATACTGATATGAACTGGATGGGGAAAAAATCCAACACCACACACATAAAAAATAAAAACTTTTTAAAAGCCAGAAGGCTTGTGTTCTATTGTGTTTAGACTTAAAATATGGAACTATTTAGAAAGAATTAAAGAGATTATGTTTATTTGATTTCAAGTTATCTCAGCAAGGAACACATTTTTCATACCTCTTTGGAAGAACAGCAGGTCAAATGACACATTTGTGAGTGACTCTTTGAAATATTCCAGCCATGCTGCGGAGTCCACCTGACCTGAGCAACATAAATTGAAGGAACAGAAGCTTATGTTTTAAATGTTCCTTTGAGAGGCTTTCCAGGGGTGAGGAAACTCAGGAAGCTGTCATAGGCCTTGCTTTTTATTTTTGTCTTATGACAGTAATCAGTTTAATTATATTTCTAACTCTTGACTTGGGGTCATAATTAATTTTTCCAATGCAAACATTATATAGCATACTTTTACAACTTTGCAAGAAAAAGAAAAGTTTGTTCAAACTCACCCAAATCATTTAAACTCCAAAGAGTTTCCCAGTGTGTACAAATTCTTTCCTCTCTTTGAGTAGGTTTCATTTTTGACTTTGCTCAATAGTAAAGGTGAATCTTCATTGTTAATGTTAAAACGAGGAGCTGAACAGGTTGGTGAAAAGGGAGATCTAAGATTTGAAAAAGCGATTGAGTTTATTAATGATGAAATGAGAAGCATATGTTGATGGAAGGTTACATGGGGCTGCAGTTGCCTTATTAAATGGAACAATTAATATTACAAGTGTCTGAAGATCATGGTTGAGAGGACTTCACCTAATGTTTCCGAAAATAATTATTTCTAACAGAGAGAACATAACCCCTGTTTGGAGTGTAACTTAATATGAGGACTTGTGAGTCAAATGTTGAGCTCTTTAGAACTATAAGCCTTTGTTTGCAGCCTTATTGAAGAAATTCGCCCGTCTCCATTTTAAGAAAGAGATTGAGGAGGCTGAAATCAAACGCTATAACCTAAAACAAAAATGGTCCTGACTTTGCTGCCCTGCCTGATTCTTCCAATAATTATTTCCTCCAACTGGTTTCTTCACCTTCTTTGCCCTGGGCTTTCATAATCCAGAGAGAGAAAAATGAATTTCACTTCCCAAATGCTAGAATTGCTGGTGCAGAACGTAACTAAATATCAGCAGCTGTGCTGGGGCACCTGGGGCCATGGAAAGAAACCTTACAAAAGACTTAGTTACGAACAAGATCCCCACTATTTTCTCGTCTTGGTTTCCTGGACTTTAAGAAGTACAGGAAAAAATGCTACTATGCTTTTTAAAAAAGAAAGTAGTTGTGCATGAGTGGGAGAGATTCTTAGGGAAAATAACGGATGAAACAAGTGTTCCTAAAGCAACAGAATGGGACCAAAGTAATGCTGCCGTTGCTCCTGACCATTGCTTCCCAAATTAATGTAGAAACACATTGCATGGAGACATTTAAGACGTAGATTCTGATTCCATGGTGGGCTGAGATCCCGCACTTGTAATGAGTGCCCTCCCACATGGGTTAGGGCTGCTGACCTGAGGACCACCTTCAAGTAGAAGCTGGAGCAGTTTACTGCCTTTTAATTAATTTGCCCCCTGCACCATTTTGCTATGGCAAAGTAGTTTCATCTACCTTGCTGGCTGCTCACTTCAACAGGAGCTTTTCCTGGAGGCCCGGTGTGTAGGTCCTGTCTCTGACACTTCCCTTAGCACCTAGCACAAGGCCTTGGTAAGAAGGAAGACAGGTGCCAAGGTATCAGAGGCGAACCCTGTTGGAGGCACTGGCGTAGAGTGAGGAAGGAGACATAGGCTGAAGCGTGATCCTGCGGTATCGCCAGAAAAGCTGTCCTGGAGCTTCTCTTCACGTCTTCCTAACCTGTTTCTTCTTTATTTGTTTTGGGAAGACAAAAGAGCATCTGTGAAGATAATCCCTGGCCCTTCTACCTCTCCGTGGCCAGTCCATTGCTGTCCGGGGAGAGGAAAGGATTGGATATGGAGGCAGGCAGGTGGGGCGGACTTTCTGGGACCTTGACTTAACCTGTTTGTGAACTGATTTGAGGGACTGGAAAGGCTCTAGGTAGAGTAATTCACTCAGTAGGTTGTCAGCACACGCACTCGCCACTGAGGCTTGCTGGGAGCCAGGAAATTTCCACCTCTCAACTGATCAGAATTACATGGGGGGCTTGAAAATTACCTGGTGCCGCCACCCCTGCGGGCATATCTACCTAGACCAATGAAAGAAGCAATCCCTGAGGGGGTGACAGCCCATTTTTAAAGTCCCTGGGTGGTTCCAGTGCCTGCAGCTCAGACTGGAAACCACAGGTTAAGTGTAGCTAAGAGCAGTCACTTCTTTGGAGCAGGCTAATTAGCCTTCATGGTGGCCAGAGGCAGAGGGAGGAGGGTGCCGGTCTCCCACCCCTCTGCCAGCCCCAAGGCAGTGGTCCCTCTTCTCGCCCAGCAGGGAACAGCAAACTGCCAGCCCAGGTGCTAACCAGTTTCTACAGAGTCACAGAGCTGCTGGGAATACTGGGAAAGGGACGGTCCTCTGGGTCTCTGAGCAAGGACCACTTTGCTTTATTACTGACTGTTCATCTACCCTCTCCGGAACCCGCTATGATTATTTTACTGTTCTCATTCACATTTTTCAGGGTTTTACCAAGCTGTGAGAGTAAATGGAGTCACGTGTGTAATGTCGCCCCGGAAGACTCACAGAGTTGGGCTCCGGAGAGCTCACCCGCACACACGCCTGATGCTTGCCGGGGTGTCCTGGAGCGGGTCTCCTCAGGGGCACCCCTGATTCTGTCATATCATGTCCGTGAGGTCGCAACACCTCCCGGGATGGTGACCAGTAAGTGAAAGTGCGCGTGAAGGACCACCGCTCCGGACTCCGGCAGGGATGTTTCCAGTCGGTGTCAGGGCTTTGCAGTTGGTATTGGTGCCTGCCAGGCTGCCACCCTGCCGGATGCCACCTTTGCTGGGCACTCATACCCTTTTCCTTTCCCCTCCCTCCTCTTCCTTCTCTTTCTTTCTCACTCCACCTCCTCCTCTTCCTTTCTTTCTTCTTCCCCTTTGCCTTCTTTCTTTCCATCTCTGTCTCTGTCTCTCTGCCTCTCCTCCAACCCCAGGAATATAACCCAGAGATGCTCTTCCACTGAGCTATAGCCCCAGATTCCCAGCCCTCTTAATTGTTATTTTGAGACAAGTTCTCACTAAGTTGCCTGGGCTAGACTTAGCTTGTGAGTCTCCTGCCTCGGCCTCCTGAGTAGCTGGGACTACTCCTGCCCCTTCCTGATACTCACTCTGCTCTTTTCATCACATTGTGTCTCCCCAGTGCTCCTACCACAGTCTGCAGGCCACACTGCAGCAGCTGCCCAGAGCCTGATGGGAAGGACAGGACACACTCTGTCACTAGAGCGTGCAGGCAGCATGACCGGGGCCCGGGGCCTCACTGAGTTTCTCTCTGTTCCTTTTCTCCCTCTGACTCAGAGGTAAACCCATAGCTCATGCTCAGAATCCGTCTGCCCTTTATTCCTGAAATGCTGCTTGCAGACCATGCCCGACGGCCTCACTCCCTTGTTTCTTCCTAGGGACACCTGGTGGGCACCACTGGACACGGTTGGATCTTCACAGAGCATAGCCGGCCCGTGCTGGGCATGGACTTCCTACGTGTGCGGAGAGGAGGAGACCTGGGGGTCCTGGCTTGCCCGAGCTGTCTGGGGTGTCTCTGTTACCGGTGATGAACAGTTACTGCCCCTGGTGTGGAGTGCGATGCTACCGAAAACACTGGTGCTGGGGTCAGCTTTGCAGGGGCTGCTCAGACAAGACTGTGTGAGAGAGACCCAAGAACATGTTGGCAAGAAAGGCAGCAGTGTGCCAGGCAGGGAAGGGTGGATGTGATCAGATCTAGATGTGGACAAAATGGAGTACAGTGTAGGGGAAAATTTAAAAACAATGAAGGCCACTAAAAGTCAGTCTGCTCTTCATTATCACCGTGCCCGTGGTTGCAGATCTTGACAGACTATCCTGAGAGCGCTACAGTCATTTGTGGCCCTAGCGATTCTTAGCAAACACTATGAGCTGGGTTCTTTGTATTTACAGGTTGAGAAGTCAGCGATCTTTCTGTCTTAAATGTTTGACCTCCCTGTTGTTTCTGTCAAATAAATTAAGGTTTGTATTTTTAATTTCCCACCTCACACCATTCCTAAAACCTTGTACTTTCTGGGATCCTTTCTGGAAGGTGCCGTGTTTGGTAAAGGTCAGGTCATGACTCCAATATGAGAAATCAAAGAGAAAATTATGGGCATAAACAGTACAGAGAATTTGTACTCTGTCACCTCCTTCTATCACGTGCTGTCCTGCCTGAAATTGCGAACCCCATGGTCCCACAGATGGCTGGAGTACAAACTTTTAGAGGGTCTTGGTCTTTTCTTTGTTCTGTTTACAGATGCACTCAAAGATTAGTATTTTAAAAAAGGAGATGCTCAATAGATATTTGTTGCATCACAGAAAAGTAAATAGTTCGAGCATGTAAAGGCTTTATTCACCTGATGCAAATCTGGATTCAAAGACTCAGAGTTCCCCAAGATGAAGCAATACTAGGATCATAAAGACTGAGATAAGAGGTGTGTATCTTCGTGGTCTGGTCCAGGTTGTAGGTTTCTTTATTAATGGCTGTAAAGTTTGCCTTTGGAACAACTGGGCATTCCTCTGGGTTTTTATGGTAACTGTTAGAACAGTTATTTTCAGAGGTGTTTACGTAAGCATATGGGTTGTTTGTTAATCAAGGTTGGTGTGAGGGGGAGACAGCAAAAAAAGAGAGAAAAGAAAAAGGGAAAGGGAGGCAAGGATTGAAGCCAAGAAAGACCAAGGTCTATTTTAATGCTTTTATAGTTGAGTGAATGAGTGAACAATTTACCTTCTCCTTCCTCAGCCATGAATTTGCACCTGGAAACTTGCTAGAAATATTTAAGCCACATTAATTTTTTTGGGGGGGGGCACACATATGTTTGAAAGATATAGTCACTCACTTACTGTCTCCCCTGAGAATGCTGATCTCACCCAGGAGACCTGAAGCTGCCCGCATTTCCAAAGCCTCTGTTTCAGCTGTCATGGTGAATTAAAGTCAGACTCGCAGGAGGCATCTTAACATTTCCTGAGAGATGAGATCAGGCTGCGTGATCCCCACTGCACACTTCAAACGTGTAGCCGAGAGACAGCAAACCAGGCAAGTTCCACCAACTTCTAAATCCACTCTAATTCTGGGCCTCTATGTAACTTTGAACTGTTTTGGAGGCACAGCCTCCACCTCTAATCTGAATCCATCGTCTTGGAAATGTGTGTTCTGCTCATGAAAATGCTGAGAAAGAAGGAGTAAATAGACCAGGGAGAGACCAGTGCCATCCCCAGGGAGACCTTTGCCAAGCCTTGCTGGCCCGGCTGCTATTGTCACTTGTCCTTGGAAAGGTCTTCCGTGTGGTTCTCAAAGATGTTTGACTGTAATTAGGACCACCCTTTAATGTGGGATTGGAGAGCATAGGGGGACAGGCAAATGCTGTTTTACTTCTGAGGGGCACTCAGAACCTCCTCTCCCTTCCTTTTGGGAAGGCACTTGCTATGGTGGCTGCAACTTCAGTGCTAACCAGTGTCCTGCTCAACAGGGTTGCAGTGGGTCTGTGCTGGCTCTGAGACCAGTCACCAGCATCTTTCCTACTTTACATTCAGAATCTGAGATGGGTCATTTTAAGTCAGACAGGGTAGAAGTGTTTGTGGAAATTGACAAATGCCACCAATCAGCTTCCCCATCCCAGGAGCTAGTTTTTACCAGCACTTTGTTGTCCTTATTCATCTTCTCTGAGCCAGCTCTCTACGCATTTCCTGATAAAACTTCAACTGACCACCTCAGTGGAGCAGTCATCCCCTGCCTGTCAGAGCTGAGTGCACTTACCCTGCCTCCTCCATTTACTGGATGCTTTGGCTCTGGATGGTGGCGGAGAGGCTCACTTCCCATTGTTCCCCAGCATGCCACCCTTTACCTTTAATATCCTTACATAGATCATAATGCCCATGAAGGCAGGTGCCAGGACCATGGTACCACACGTCTGTGAAGCCATGGGGGTGGCAGAATGTCAGAATGAAAACAAATGATAGCTAATCAATGTCAATGAAACGAGTCACTGAGCAATAGGTTCTGAAAAGCCCCAGGAAAGTGAAAACAACATGGATACTTTTTAAAATGGGCAAAATTTTATTTTCAAAACACAATTAAAACTATATACAGTTGGCTTTCTGTAACTTAGACTCGATCAATCATTGATTTAAAAAATTGCTTCTGTACCAAACATATACAGACTTTTTTCTTGTAATTATTTCCTAAACCATATGAAATCACAACTATTTACATAGTGTTTAACTCGATTAAATACTATAAGTCATCTAGAGATGATTTATTTATTTATTTATTTATTTATTTATTTATTTGGTACTGGGGAGCCAACTCGGGTCCTTGCACTTGCGCAGCAGGCGGTGAAACCACTGAGCTAAATCCCCGGCCCCAAGAGATGATTTATTTAAAGTACGTGGGAGGCTGTGCATATATTCTATGTGAATATGGTGTCATTTTATGTAAGGGATATGAGCACCTGAGGATTTGGGTCTCTGAAAGGGGGCCTGGAACTGTGGCTGTGTATGATGCTGCTTTCAACATGTTGGTAACTGCACTGGTTTTTAAAGGTCTTCCCATAGCTTTTGGCTGGATGCAGTGTTGCTCAGCTGTGCAATCGGAATGCTTATACACGATTTGCTTGGGCCATGACTTCTTCAGCATAGCACCTGGTCCCAGGAAGCAGCGTTGTGCAGAGTATGCCTCAGGTTCCCTGGCTTTAACATACCATCTCACTAATCAGTTCTGAAATGACCATCAAATCTTTCCTCTGCCACTAATTGAAAAAGTGACCTAAGTCATAAGTGGCATTTCCTACCTAACATCACATGTAGCTATGGTTTCTACAAAATGGTTTGGGGATCAAGCTATGCCTTAATACCAAGAACTAAAGCTCCATACATAATGTGCCCATAATGGGCACACATGTGTTTTAAATATTTGTTTTAATACTAATGTCAGATTTAGGGCCTAATCCATTCTGTTGATTGGAAGGATGCATGGAAGGATAAAGGTTCTATCCCCACATTAACACATTTTATGGGTTGCAAAGCCACTTTTTTCCTCTAAAACACGAGGTCATGAGCTAATAGAATGCTTACTTTCTGAGAGTTTCATTTGGCTTAAAAAACAGTTTTAGAAAAAAATTAATCTGAGGAATAGGCTTGTATAAGTACTGGGTAAATAAGTCATCTGAATTTTATGAAATATTGCTCTCAAACCAAAATCTGCTCCTCCATTTGTGTTAAGTGGAATAAAAGTCAATGTTAAGAAGTGCTCTGTGCAAAGCTATTTACCTAAGTGTGCTATGACAAATTACAATGAAGTGATCTAAGCAATACTGCACCCCCAAAAAAAGACTAAAAGGGAAGATTTTTGGGTGTCTTTGTAACTTTCCCCCCCAAAATGAATAAAATTCCAATCTTATGGCTGCTAATATTTGTAATTCTATTACTTGGAATTTGCATTTGTCCAGGCAGAACTTAGTAAACACTGGATTTTACTTCTGAAGGAAAAGGAACTCTTTATAATGTGAAAGTGATTTCCCTCAGTTGTATAATGGAGATAAAGTGGCAACCTGTGCTTTGTCACTTTGGGTTGTTCCTTCTCTTCTGCCTCTGAAGTATCTCTTCTTAGTTCCTTCCTCTCTGTTCCCATTGCTAGAAGCAATACAACTACTGAACCA